GCCCATACATATTTATAATATGTATCATGTAAGTGTTGTTAATCAGTTTGCTTATAATGTTTCAGCTTTGTGATCAAGATGTCACAACCGAACCCAATGAGGATTTTGTTTCATTTCCGGCTCGCCCCTTCTTCTACTTTTTTTTTTACTAAATGCATACTAGCATAATCAGCATCACTCAGTCACGAGCTAGGACTACTTGTTATGTGCCTGGCAGTTTATGTAGAAAGATTGACAAGCATAACAAAAAAGATCTAATTGTCGATCTTTTTCTAGACCTAATTAGGAAGACTGTTTCATTTCCAGGCATCAAGATGTTAAAAAGTACGATAAACCAAAACCAAATAGGCGTGCAATTTACTCTAAGTTCAGTCTTTACACGAAAGAGTTTCTCTTTCACGTCGCCTAAGCAGAAATGTACAAATCTTGCCCTGATACATGATTCCAGCATCGATTTTCCAGAAAAAGAAAAGAAAAACGATAGCCGATGGGTTCCTCGGTCTGCATAAAAACAGATAACCTACAGATTATTTTCTTGCGATTCAAATCTACGTTTATACCAAAAAAAAAAAGCCAACTTTTGAAACAACCCTAACCGGTAAATTGGTCCGTAAGGAGAGGTTAAAGAAGCTTTGCTCGCGCAACAAATTACTCAAGAGATACAAACAACAAACGAGACATATTCTAATTGCCCCATGATTTCCAACCAATTCAGGATCAAAAGAACCAATAAAACGACCGCAGAAGCAAGAAAGGGGACGCGAGGAGGACAGCGATTAGTGAACTTACATTGGAGGCGATGATGAGGCGGCGGAGGTTGGTCATATGCTTCTTGTTCTCCTCCTTTCTCTTCTTGGCTCCCTGATTCGCCATCGCTTCCGATTCCTACCCCCCGCCGCTCCGACCTTGAAACGCTGAGAACCAGACGAAAAGATTCGCTCACCGACGAGTGCCCTTATTTTGTTCGGAATGCATAATACAATAACATTAAAACAAAAATATTGTGCATATATACCCCTCAACATATCGTTATTTTCATATGCAAGGCTTCCTCAAGAACTCAATATTAGTGGATATTCTACAAATGTATTGATTTATTTGCACGATTCAACATATAATAAATACATATCGATATTATGTATATACGCCTCTCAAAAAACCGCTTATTTCTTCTATGCAATTAAAATAGTGGGCATTTAATGTACAACTTCATCGAAGACTAAGTTTGAGAAACCGATTAGTGTATTATTTCCTTGATTTTTATTTTTATAATATTATAAAAATGAAGAGAACAAAAAAGGTAGATAGTGTCAATAAACTCAATATGTAACTCAATTTCTTTCTATCCATATGTATGCTATTTTGGAGGGCATGTTATAGATATATACCCGTCGAACGTATGACAATTATCCATATACGAATATGTATGTATCCTCATGCAATCAATCAGGTCTTAGGCGAAGGAGGAAAAGAAATCCATCGAAAAAGAGTAAAAATCGAAGATTATAACACTTCAAAGCTAGTTCACATAGGTGTAGATTGCAATCGACTCGTATAGGCTAGGATCATCATCGATCGGACCATTCATATAAGAGATAGAGGCAATATGGCAATGAGCGAGATGATAGGAGGGAGGTCAAGGGTGATATTATATTTAAAAAATAATCTACGAAAATAAAAATAAATAAAAAAAATTGATTCTTTTAGGGAATTTGTCCTTTGTTGATTTTATAAGTCGATCATGCAATTTATCCGAGAAAGATTTATGGGATAATTTAACCGGCGGAGGTGCATCCCTGAAATATTTAGGTTACGTATCGTAACCACAATCGTTATTTTGATGAAAGCGAATCCTCGACGGATTTCACGATCAACGAGTGAGAAGGTGTCGTCGAGCGCGAGGCAAAGTGAAGGGGAGGGAGATTGATCCTTCCCCTGATTGATTTGTAGCGAGAACGAAATCCCTGTGAAAGCATAAAAACTATAATATGCTTCATTAAAATATAAAAATAACCTTTATATCAAGATTGAAATCAAATACTTAGATCTTATTTAATGATGCGTACCTTTTGATGTCATCTGTTCAGAAATTTATGTTTAATCTGCAAGGCATTATTGTAAATCTGCAAGGAGTAGAACTTTTCTCCTCTCTTCCTATCCTTTCACAAGGACCAACTAGATTGATGGTTTAGAGAGAGAGAGAGAGATGCCTATCCTTTCACAAGGACCAACTAGATTGATGATTCTTAATGAGTTCATTAAAAATCTCGTTATGGTCGATACATTCTTTATAAGTAAAACTTTTAACCACAAGTCTGATCATTATATTGTTCGACATTGTCCTTGGAGTTACATTTATATAATAGACTCCTTTATAATTATTGGACAATTCGATAAATTTATCGGACACCATTCTGGTTATTGATTTTAACTCTTCTTTTATTGCATCATATTACTTTTCAGAATCATTACTTTTCATAACCCCTGATAAAAATAAAGGATCCATTCTGATTCCTATATCGTAATATAATTCTTGTAGATATATAATATAATAACCATAAATGACATGATTCCTTCCCCTTTGAGATATTCTAAAAATTATTAATTATAATTGTTTTATAAGACCATTAGTAATGATATCAATATATGTGGGAGTTTAGTAATATTATTTTTTTGTTCATTTTTATCAAATCATTTAATGATTTGAGTAACAAGAATCTCTGAAATAATAAAGGAGTATTAATTTGTATCTTATTTATATCAAAATTAAATTTCGAGATTTTCACTCCCGATTTGCTATTTTATAGGAATATTATATTACAATATTTAATTATCCACGTACTATGATCAGAATAGTTATAGGAATCTTATATTACAATATTTAATTATCCACGTACTATTTTATAGGAATCTTATATTACAATATTTAATTATCCATGTACACTTCAAAAGTGTAAACAATCATAGACTTTACATGAATTAGATATATATAATCATATCTCAACAGATTATTTATATGGTAATAAAATATCTCTCTTTAATGAGACGAAAGCATAGAGTAATAAACATAACTTCAAGGAGTTTATAAAACTACATTTCACTTCAATATTTAATTGTAGGATCATTATGATGAAACATCAAATTAATCCATCAATAATATCTATAATATTTGATTTGAACCATATAAAGGTTATATTTATATTTTTTTCATTTCTAATTAAATATTATACCACATAAGTAACATTTTATTGTGAAGATATTTTTTTATAGGTTTATATAGTAATTATAAACTTAAGTGACTTACGCTTCATCCTTATTTTAGTGTTACCTACTCCTTGAGTAGTACTCAAAATATTATAAGTTTTGAGCTTATAATTTTATCATTTTATTTTGAGGATATAATCTTGAATTCATCAAATACTATAATAGTAAGACGTCAACTAAGGACTTATCAAAAAATTTATATTGATCCTTAGATATTCTTATGCGCTAGTTGTAAATTGTATTGAAGTCTAAGTATCATAAAATTGAGTCTTTCATACATTTCTTGATCAGTCACCTTAATTATTTATTTCATAGAACTTTCAATAATTAAGTTTGTATTCTGTTCAATTAATGGTCTCACTTACTCAATACAACTTATATATGCTTAAGCCATTTATTTGAAACATTTACAAAAACACAATAAAGGAAGTACCACAGCAATAATATAACATTAATACTTTGAGTTTCCAAAAATACGATGAACTATTGATATCATCTATATTTCACTTTTAAGTGAAATATTTATATATATAGTGTTCACTCAAGATCACTCGTGGAGGACTGATACCATAATTGTGAAATAATATTGTTACCTTTGGGTATATGATCCTAAACTATAAGGATATCCAAAACAATATCATCCTATCCTTTCCCATCACGTAATTATTTAAAATAGATTATCTTTTGAGATTATCTAAATCTCCTAATTATATGTGCTATCACGAATATTATTTTATTTAATATTATTTATGATTAATTTCATAATGTATTTTTATAGATTATTGGTCCAGATCACTTTGGTGGCTATAGGACTAATACAAAAAGATAAAATCTAATCTAAAATTTCCCATGAATGACAAGAATTTTATTGTAAAATTCATATCCCATAAACCTATAATCCAAGACTACTTTAGTAGCTATCAGTTAGATAAAACTTAGGAAGATAAATTACAAATAATATTCACTAAATTTCTTTATCCTGATTCATGTTGCCATTGTGAATATTATTTTATTTAATATCATTTAGAACTAATTTCATAATGTATTTTATAAATTATCGGTCTAGGTCACTTTGGTGGTTGTAGGACCAATACAAAAATATAAAATATAATCTAAAATATCCTATAAATGATAAGACTTTTATTGTAATTCACATCTCATAAGTTTATCATCCCAGGCTACTTTGACAATTATCGGTCACATAAAACTTATGAAGATAAATTATAAATAATATTCATAAATTTATTTATCTTGATTCATACTGAAATAGTTCAATAATAAAATAACAACCATAATAATTATTGAACATTAATGATAAACAGTTCAATAATAAAATAATAATCATAATAATTATTAAATATTAATATTAAATAATTTAATAATAGAATAATAATCATAATAATTAGTGAACATTAATCAGTAAAAGAAAACTGATAATCATGATAACATTATTGAATATTATTTCATAATTTCATATATATATATATATATATATATACATGTGAATAATTAAATGAATATGCAAGAACAATAATTAAATTTTATGTATAATCAATAATTAATATGAGAAAATTATAAAGTAAACTATAATTTATATTTTTTAAATAAAAATTAAATCTAATCAAATAATAAAAAATATAATCATAATTAAATTTAATCATAATTATAATAAATCATATATTTTTTAATTTTATAATTGAGAATATAAACCAAATTTAACATCCTGGTGATGTAACCCTGGTGATGTAGAAAATTCGCTGGTGGGGATATCCGATGGGGCGGCGGAGCGGGAAGAAGCCCTTCTCCTTCTTCTCCAAGAAGGGCCGATCGGCCAACCGGCTGGAGCTGCAGCCGCTCCCGTCCCCGATCCCTAATCATCTTGCCGCCAAGAACAGCAGCAACCCCGCTGCGGCTTCAGATAGCGCGACGGCGGCGGCGCAGTTGCATGGGGTTAAGGCGGCGAAAAAGAAGGCCGGCTCGCGCCTCTGGATGAGGTTCGATCGCGCCGGGCAGTCGGAGGTCCTGGAACTCGACAAGAGCGCCATCATCAAGCGGGCGGGGATTCCTCCCCGCGACCTTAGGATTCTTGGACCCCTCTTCTCCCATTCGTCGAACATCCTCGGTGAGCTACGTCTTCTTGTTTGCTTTGTACCTAAGTTGTTTTCAATAAAGCCGTTAATCATGATTTCACCCTAATGTTTCATAGCTTTTTATCTTTATTTTGGCATCTGTGGGTCTCGTAGTTTATTATTCTCTGATCTTTGTTTGTTTCCTGACTTCTGGAACTATGTTAACATGATATTCATTCTGATGTTTGACAAGGTTGTCTCTCTGGTTTTTAACGGATAAACAGTTGAGTTTTTCTTGGAGGGTGGCCTTTTGTGGTTGCGCGTTGATTTTGCTTAGGTAAAATTTTTGTTTGCAATCACATGTTAGAGATCTAAGGATCTCAACGTAAAGATGTTCTAGTAATAGAAAACTAAGCCTTGTAAGTGGTTCTGATTCAACTATGAACCTACAGCCTCCTGCTAATCTTCTTATTGTCTTCATGGTGGATAATAAGAAGTTTATGAGAACTACGTCAATATTAAGCTGTGGCAACTGCTCTTCATTTCGTAGCAATAAAGCTAAGAATTACAAAATCCTCTTCCCTAGCATGTTTGAATTAAAAAGGAAACTGTCTTATAGTTTATGTGTAGAAATTGGATAGAACTTGGAAACGAGCAATATATCCATAGAATTGCAAATCATGACCTTTTCCAACTAGAAAAGTACTAGCTGGGAATGCAAATTTTCTGTTACCAGTAATCTGCACAAACTATCATGAGCATAAGCGATACTGTATATGATGTGTGGGTGGAGATTCAAAGAGACAATCTTGCTCTGTGTCAACTTATATATAAAAAATTCAGAACCAGTTAAGTAAATATCAAGTTGCATGTTGCTACAAGATTAGAGGTCCACATCTCTGTGGTGCGCTAATAATTTGTACAAAATTATTCACGGCACAATCATCATTGACACTGTTAGTGTTACATTTCCTGTTAGGCCTTTAATGTGCAATTTTTCACTTGTGCCCTGAACCTAAGATCTATACGAAGAAAACACTGTTCTAAGTCACTAATAATATTATATAGAACAATCACATGCCTAATTATCGAAGTAGTTTGTTACTTTATAGCTTGTTAATAATGAAACAACCTTGCAATATTCTGTCACATGGCTCTTGTTCTGTAAAGTTCCTCATAAATATTTCTAAAAGGTCTGTATTTTCAGCATTTGTATTATGCATCGTAATCATGTTTTCTGTCCATGTCATACAGATTCTTCAGTAACCAACTTTTCTACACAGTAATATCTTTTGATTCTTGCTTTTATGACGTAGATAAAAATTGTTTGATTTTTAACTGATTTCATTCTGGCAATGGTTCAGCCAGGGAAAAGGCTATGGTTGTCAATCTAGAATTCATAAAGGCCATTGTTACTGCTGAAGAAGTGCTAATACTGGATCCTCTGTGTCAAGAAGTTCTCCCTTTTGTAGATCAGTTAAGGCAACAACTCCCTTTGAAGAGTCCTTTCAGGGTCGATGATCCTAATCTTGATAAACAAAGCAAAGATAAACATGCAACTGGTGAAGAGTGGACAAAAATAAATGAGGCAGCTGAAAGTGAACATGAACTACCATTTGAGTTTCAGGTGCTTGAGATTGCACTAGAAGTTGTTTGTTCATATTTGGACTGTAGCGTCTCTGATCTTGAGAAAAATGCATACCCTGTGCTTGATGAATTAGCCATGAATGTTAGCACCAAGAATCTTGAACGTGTGCGGAGTCTGAAAAGCAACCTTACTCGTTTGCTTGCACATATTCAGAAGGTACCTTTCGACTTATATAATCATTCATTGACATTTTATATGTACTCTTTCATTATCCTACAAAAGTTTGGACAGGCTTTGCCTCAAAAAAGTAAAAACATATGCAAGGATCCTGAAGAATTTGCATTGTAAATTTTAGACGAGAAGGCATTTTTTTGGTACTTATTGACATTCCTAAAACATAATTTTTTCAATAAAAATGTATTTATCTAATTCGTAGAATTTTTCAGTTTGCCATTCTGAAGAAGTTGGATATTACAAAACCTCAAATATTCATGTTTTCATGTTACCTTTAAGTATCATCTACATAGCACTACTCCACTATTTTACTATGAGTATGAGAATGATTATCTCCAGGTTAGGGATGAAATTGAACACCTTTTAGATGACAACGAGGATATGGCCCATCTATATTTAACAAGGAAGCAAATCCAGAATCAGCAGTTTGAAGCTTTGATAGCCTCTGGGGCTTCAAATAGCATTGTTGCTGCAGGACCAAACCTCGCAAGACTTGGCTCTAATTTAAATTGTAGCGCAAGCATTATTTCTAGTATCTATGCTGATGATAATGATGTGGAGGATTTGGAGATGTTACTTGAAGCTTATTTCATGCAGCTTGATGGAATGCGCAACAAAATTTTGTCGGTTAGTCCTTTCTGCATGCTGCATTTTGTGCTAACAGATTTCTGTTTTTTTTATAAAAATCGTATGATTATGTCCATGTTCTAAAAGCAAAAGGTGGTATGAGAAATATTGCACTTGCATGTTTTGACAAACTAGAGATTTAGCTTTTAAGTCAGTGGTTGTAATAAAGCATATTGTATATATTTTTTGTATGTATTACTTCATTTACATGTTCATTTATAGTTATTTGCTTATTTTGTTTAAATTATTTGCATGAGCTTGTGCTTGAACTTTTTTGACAGCAATTTCTAATTATTTGCATTTTGCAATCTGATATGACTATGCACTTGCTGGCATGTCTGTTTTAATGCACTCTAAGAGGGAAGATTGTGATGAAAAGCTTTACCTATGAATGAAGTATGGCTGCTTAGAGCCTAACCAACTATTTATTTCTCCTTGGCTGAAGATATGAATAGGACCACATCTCTTGAGTGTCAAAAAGAAGCTTGCTCGAATTGGATTCAGCTAACATAAAAATATTATATGATTGTTGTAGATGGGCCAAAGCAATTGTTATAAAGTTACTTTTCTGGGAGGTGTTTTGAATTGGTATTGAGCTGGTCTTAGATGATTTTTATGTCAGAAGTGTCTCGATGTAGTATCATTTTTATTATATGTGATTGGAGACACTCTAGTCTTTTGCATAATTAATTAAGGCTACCAATTCAGATACAATCAAACATGAGGAACTAATGGAATAATATTTTTCTTGCTGCCAATTATGTGAGAATTAAGACTCAGGATCTTATGGAGCAAGATCTTTCTTGGAAAATGCCTTAGTTCCTTTAAATTCTTTACAGTTTACCCAGGAATCCACTCTTCCAGAGTGGCAGACAACAGGAAAAAGAAATCCCATTAATCAGGATTCAACATATGCGTAGAACAGAAAGGAGTAATCGTGGTCTGCTTGCCCGATGGATTGTGCATTTATTCCTAAATTGAAAATTTCTTCGATGAGTAATTAATGTTAATTTTGAGCAAATCAAGTAGAGAAGAAACTTAATCGATGAACGTCCAGAGGATTCAAATTGCTTTGTGAGTTCAATTTTTGAGCTTTGTGGGCTTTAGGTGAAGTTTATCAGTAGCAGTAGAATATTTGGCATATAAATCATTCTTTTCTGACAGTAGATAGCCATTGCATTTGCAAGTTAAAAGCTTATGCTGTTGCTTTTTTGACCTCATTGTTCCACCACCACATCTCTGTGTTTGCTGGCAGAGTTATTTGTTCTGTCATAACCATTTTCCAACTGCAGGTGAACTGCTTTGATTATGTGAAATAACAAAATTATTTCAAATAATTAAACATAATATATTAAATTTGTTAAACATATAAAACAATAATATAAAAAATGTAAGAAAATATTTAAGTTATTTTTATTTTTTAAATGTGTTTGTGAAAGTTTCAAAATTTTAAATTATTTAATTTGTCTTCTTCCATATTTTTGATATTTTATTTTTTAAATTTAAAATATTTTCTCAATTAATTTAGATTCTTCAAATTTGATACAACTGATCTGATTTATACCGAGTTTTCAGAATTGAAATTTGAAAATCCTGATACCAATTCTTGTTTTAATATGACTGCAACCTGTGTATAAAAAGGATGAGTTGCTTTTGTTGTGTATGACTGATTATCAATGCGCATGAACTCTTTTCTTGACTGTCTAATATAGCAAATTTGGTGCTATCTCGATGGATTATTTCTTTCTTTTGTTTCTTGGATATTCATTCCACTCAGTAGATAAACCCATTTAGATGCTTGCAAGCAAGCATGAAAAGACACCTCTGGAATCTGGATCAACTTGTACCTTTCAGTGATGAAGAATACCTTGGTGGTGCTTTGATTTTTCTACTCCATTCTTGTCTTATTTTACTTTGTGAGAGGAGCTCATGTTGGTAGTTCTATAACAAATTGTATACTTTTATAACCGTTAAGTATTGATCATCTTTTATGTGTTTAAAATTTTAAATTGATATTTTGTAATTACTGGGAATGTTAAGTTTTAAAGTAGTTAAGATGATTGATCAATTGAATGGTTCAACTGTAACTTTCTGGCTTGTATTTTGAAAATATGATGGTAAAGATGCAAGTATTGGAAGTTGAAAGTGTATGAATGCTGAATAGTAGTTATTCAAAAAATTGTCAGATGTTGAAAGGTCTTTTGTTTGTATTATTATGTATATAATATTTTGCTTTGTAAAATTCAACATCATGTTTTGTACCATCAATTTGCAGTTCTTTAATTGCCACAACTAGAAAAGTAATGTCAGTTCCATTACATGTTTTATCTTGCATTGACAATGTCCATAATTTCTATGTCAAGCTTAATGTTACCATTTGTACCAACAATTTTTTTCCTCTGAGATCAATAGGTGAGGGAATATATTGATGATACAGAAGACTATGTCAACATCCAGCTTGATAACCAGCGAAATGAACTTATTCAACTCCAGTTGGTATTAACCATTGCATCGTTCGGCATAGCTGTAGACACCCTTATCGTAGGTGCATTTGCAATGAATATCCCCTGCCAGTTATATGATATTAACCACATCTTTACCCCCTTTGTTGGAGGCACATCAGGAGGCTGTGTCCTGATCACCTTGCTCATGCTAGCATATGCCAGGTGGAAGAAATTACTTGGGTCTTAAATGGACCATGTTCCAGGCAATGTCAGAGCAAATAATTTCACAGCAACAGTTATGGATTGGTTATTTTGATAATCTGGTGTGCGAGATATGTAAGCAAACACATCTGGTGTCAGGATGATGTCGATTTAAGCAAGTTATGGTATGCAAGAGTACAAGTTTGATTCCACATTGCTGCTAATGTGCGAAAATCTCTTTTGCTATTGTGTTAATAATCAAACTGCAGAGTTTGGTGCACTTGGACATCGATCTAGTCATCAAGTGATGTTGCCTTTTTCTCTACCATATGGCCTTCCTTTCTTTCTGTTTTGCTGTTTCTAGCTGTTCTTCCTGGTCATGTATTGATTTGTGACTTGTGAGTACATTTTCTTCAGAATGGCCACTTAGATGGGTAAAGAAATTTTGACACAGAGGTGCAGACTTTACTGTGCTTTTCATGAACTTCTTTTAGTATTAAATTCAAGTCTGTTGTTCATCTTTGCCTCAGAAAAAGAATTCAATTTTGCTGTTGTAGATAAGACTACTTTACAAGGACTTGAATGAAAGGAGATTTACTACACCCATATTGTTTTGGAGATTTGGTGATCCCACCAAACAATGAAGAAACGGATGGAGTTTACATGTATTTTGCAAAAATTCTTAATTAAATGCAGTTTTACACGCAGAAAAATCTGATTAGCAACTTTACATGATCAGCAAGAATGTCATTTTTATAAAATATATTTATTTAAAGAATAAAAAAATTGAGGATTAACTTTTTTGTAATATCATATATATTTTACGGTTTTACTATATGGAAAGAGAGAGAGAGAGAGAGAGATTCTTCTTAGATGTTGCGAGTAGGTTTGAGTTCTACTTAATCTCCATAGAAAAGGCAAACAATTGTATGTAATAATTTGTGTTCCATATATATATATATATATATATATATATATATATATTCTAAATGAGTTTAATTAAATATTAAAAATCATTTCAGTTCCAAGTTTTATTTTGCCTTAGATGCAGCTCCCCCGTTCAAGTGTGTTCCCTCGAAGTTAGGATGATACCATTCCACCCCTAATTTAGATCCGCTCCGATCTCTTCCGTGCACCAATCTAAAAGCATCTCGGTTTAACACGAGCCATCGCTGAAAGATTTGCAAAGACCTGGTTACGAATCTGGAAGCACCTCTTTCCCACAGTAGTGTGCCGTCGAACTTACGGCACCATGTCGATCCCCTCCGCATCGACCGCACGCCGTCGCCCCGCCGAGCCAACTCGGTAGTCTCGCTGGGATTTCTCTTCCCCCAACCGTCGAATGGGTTGTTCATCCTCTTTCCCAGGTCCCGAATCCCTTCTTACGCTCCCCGCTCTCCTCCTCTCTTCTTTAAGGTTTAATCGATCATTCTCTAGCTTTATCCTTTCTTGATCTTTCCATTCCTTCAAATCCTAGGTAGGGTTGTCTTTTGTCTACTGTTCTCTTGTATTGATCCATGTCGAATAGTAAGATAGATATGCAATTCTATAAACCGTAAACTGTCTGAATTCCTCTGTGGTTTTTCTTTTTGTTTGATCTTCGATGAATGATTAACCTTGCGTATGGAGGTGTGTGGGGTTCGATGTCAAGGAAGTTGTCAGTACGATTGAGATTTTTATCTAACTCCGGGAACTGTACGAGTTGTAGTCAATGCACTACTGGAAAGATCTGAGCTTTTGCCTTCAACGTGCTTGTATTGCTTGAGTTGTACGAGATGCTGCCTAGTGGGATGCTTCTAATTAGTTACTATGCCAGGACTTGCATGCGCTTTGTCATCATAGGATTCCTAGATGCTAATCATTTGCTCATCAACCCATTTGTTTCAGGAAGTTTACCGATACTAATATGCGAATAGCTCTTTGTGTTCTCATCATGTGAAGCATTTTCTTCAGAGTTAAATGATGCTGTAGCTTGGAAATTATACGAGTGATTAACATGTGCAACTTTTGGTAATAATCAGACAGAAATGCTGGAAGGTTGGCCAGTTTGAACAGTGAAAGCTCAACAGCTCCTGAATCAAAAAACTTGCGTGTTAAGGTATGCTACTTGTCTTTCCTATTGTAGCAAACTAGCAATATACTTTCGGCCATGTGACCCATTTGGATGCTACTTCACAACAGATGGGAATTGCCTGGTAGGATTAGGGGTTCAAAGTCAGTAATACTTTTCCACCACCTTCGGCCATGTGTCCCATTTGGATATCACTTCACAACAAATGGGAATTACCCGGTAGGATTAGGGGATCAAAGTCTTTTTCCCCCGCCATTTAGAATTTGGAGGGAAACTTTCATATGTATTTATACTTTGACCTCAATGTCTAGGAAGATTGTCTTGATTTACTTGTAGGTAAATTATTGGAGATTCGACCTTAATTTGATGTAATTGATAGAGATAAATCATTCATCTTTTATGAGATCATAACTTCTTTTGTCACTTTCTCTCACATTCCATGTACTTGAACTATAAAAATGTGACTCCAGGGGATAAAGTCAAAAAATCATCCTTGTGAAGAATAACAAACAGCAGAAGGATGGCCAAAATTAAGAATCCACGTGTTCATTGAAACCCTAGGAAGAATGTGTGAAATCATAGCATATTTCTGCATGTGACACTGAAATTTTTTTAGTGATGTATAATGGATTGAAATCCCAAAGTCATGGATGTGTGAGTGTGGGTAAAAGATTATTTATCCTTTGTCTTGAATTCGTTTACTTTTTTAGTGTTGTATAATGGATTGAAATACCAAAGTCATCGATGTGTGAGTGTGGATAAAAGATTATTTATCCTTCGTCTTGAATTTGTTTACTTTTGTAGTCCTTTTTTATATGGAATTTCATGATGAACCCAAACAGTATTGCATTTTTTGTTGAAACATATTCAGTTTGGAACCTTGGGATATCTACTGTTAAGGAAAACTTGTTGATTTTAGTAGGCAAAAAAGGAGAAAAACATCTAGATGATTTTGATATACTTACATATTTTATATGACATTATCAGAGATCAAATGATCAAAATAAACCAACCCTGGGCTTACATCTGTGACTATAGATAATGGAGCTGACTTAAGTTTTAGAACTCGAGTGTGCAGTGTATAAGCACCCATGCTGCAACTGAAGTTCCTTGGAAGATAAGTTTTGAGCTTTCACTTTTGCCAAAAACAAATGCACTTTTGATGTATTTTATCCTCATGTGACATCGATTTTTTTTGTCAATGCCATTCATTTGAAACAAGATATACTTGCTGAAGAAGATTTGTTATAGTTTAGCATGTATTTTATGTAATTTGGCCTCAATTTGTTAGTTATAGGTGTTCTCCTTTAGTTAGAAATGCTTCCTGGTCTTCTTGTTTGGCTCCCTTATGTGCCCTGAATTAGTTTGAAGTTATTCTACTCGAGTCACAAGGGAGTAGGCTCTTCTATGGTACGGTACTTTCTATATGCTTACAGATATGATGTGCTTCTTAGTATTTAGTGAAGTAATATAGCTTAGCCGCTGCCTATAATGCTTATATTAGCTAATATATGCACGAGTTTTCATGCATTCATGAGTCTGGCATCTTCTACTCTATGAATTTGCCTGTTTGTGTGTTTTTTTTTGTCGTTTGCATCTTTATAAAGACATCCGCAAAACAGGGCTGTTTTAAATTGTAAGAAGAGAACAAACAGGAAGTGTTGCTTACCTTCTATTTGAAAGAGTAATTTTTACCTAGAACAAAGTTAGACAAACTTTTGCTTTAGCATGTGTTGTTTGTCTTGTGAATTAGTTTGCTGCATAATTGCACAAGCTGACTGATTTTGACACTTGTGATATATCTGTCTTTGCAGTTGGTATTGTTGGGGGATTCTGGTGTTGGTAAAAGCTGCATAGTCATTCGATTTGTTCGTGGTCAATTTGACCCTACATCACAGGTAATGTTTTATCAAAATGGTGGTCTAACAATTGTCAGTATTTTGTTAATTGTTGTGCCTATTTATCCTCCATGTTGCCACTGCCACATCATTGTCTCTGCCATGTTGTTGTCACCACATCATCCTACCCACTGCATTGCCGCCATCTACTTGTCACTCTGTTGCCACCACCTCCTTGTTCTCCCGATACAAGTCATACCTTCTCTTCTTCCTCTGAGCTTCCTCCTCTTATACCTTTTCATCCTCTGCTTCCCATTCCTCCACTGCCTCCTCCATCTCCAGCTGAGACCACAGCAATCAACACAGGGGACTACCCATCACGCCAATACCTAACCACTTCACCCAAGGACTGTATTGTACTTTATTTAAATTTACAACGTTTGGCCTGACCATATCCAAGGAAAATCTTTAATTGGCGAGTAAGTAAGAATAATTCGGGATAGAGATTGCATTGATGAGGAAGACTAAATAATACTCAGTTAGACAGAACTTTTGGATGAGAATATTGATCTTCACAAAGCAAAAATGCAAGAGATTACATGGCCGAGAAGTTAGGAACAAATGATTGTTGACATAATTATTGCACCAATATAATATGCTATATTTTGCTGGTGCCCCTGTTTTCTTGTTTAAGTTTATTTTTCTCCTATAGCATGTGCCACAGCAGTTTCTTATGATATATGTTTGTCATTTGGTTCTTCTAGGTAACAGTTGGTGCTTCCTTCTTATCTCAAACATTAGTCCTGCAAGACTCTACAACAGTGAAATTTGAAATATGGGATACAGCAGGACAAGAGAGGTGCATGTTTTAGTAGCATGGTCATTTGTTATTACGTGTGATCTCATGTTCTTTGTGGATTGAACATGATATAGTGTGTTTTTGGTAAAAGTGTGCAAGTAAATATGGATGATGTTCCTACTTCTATTTTTAATGTCTAATATACTCACCAGATTTTGCTTATCTTTAACAATAATACTGTAAGTCAATATAAACTAATATTTACTGTTTATGTTCTTTGCAGGTATGCTTCACTGGCCCCTCTTTACTACCGAGGAGCAGCTGTTGCAGTTGTGGTATATGACATAACAAGTCCAGACACATTCAAAAAGGCACAGTATTGGGTTAAGGTATCACATCTTTTTAACTCTGATTAGTTTATTTATGGATTGGTGTTTTTTCCTTATTGTGTTTTATGGGGCCTGCTTATTAATTTCTAGTTAAAGTGGAAGGTATGTTTTAGGCATTAGATGTGGTGAGGTTTCATCTTGCAGCTCATGGAGGTTGATGAATTGAAACCAGGCAGTGGTTTCTTTCTTTTCTCAAATTTAATGTTGCATAAGCTTTTAGCTTATGAAGAAATAAAAACTGGTTGACTGCTTCCAGTTAAGAACACGACACTGAATTGGCTTGGAACTTGCTATCTGGCAATGCATGACAGCTGAGAATGTCATCCTTACGAAGATATTTCTTTAGTTGTTAGTTAGTAGAGGAAAATTGTTCTTTTAGTCACACCACTTGACTCTTGGGAACACGAGAAAGTTCTTAATGAACCTATGAAAGGAAAACACACAAGAAAGCTCAAAGCTTTATCATAATTATTCTTGTTACCAAATTTGCTTTATTTTTTTTAACATCTTTATCAGGAATTAGTACAAGCATATATTATAAAATTCATTTAAGAGTCTATTGTCTCATCAAGTGTAGCTTTTTTCAAATAATAGAATGGCGTTCTTTGCTTTGTTTTATCAATTTTGGTTCTTTAAAATCCAGATGTTCCTTCTTATGCGATAAGATGATCCATGTTTTAACTTTGAAACCAAGCCTTCAACTTGTCATGAAACTAATATCATATGAGAGAATTGCAAATGTCCTTAATCTTTTGCATAGTTGAAAGCTAAACCAATGTATGCCTTCCTCATTGAATTTTCACATCCTAGTGAAATCATATTAACACACAGGAATCAGGGGTACCTAGTTCTTTGTAGAGTACAACACAATCCATATACCATTAAATCAAAAGATATCCTAAAAAAATTGTGGTAAACTGTTTCCTCCCAACTTGTTGATTATGCTCAATTTGGACAATTTCTTTTCTTTGCTCACTACTAGGTCATTCATTACACTTAGACGGGCTTATGTAGGAGATATACTCTCAGTGATCACATTGAGCTCCTCTCTTCTCTTGTAAGGTAGTCATCTTATTTAGTGAACCCAGCACTCTGTAATGGAACATCCAATTTAAATCTTATATTTTTTTTTCTTTTTAGAGTTTCATCTAGGCTGAATAATAATTTCCATTTATGTTTCTTAACAAAACACGAGCTCAAGTTCTTAGTAGTTATTCTGTCAGAATTTAATGTCTGCTGGAACTACATTCATGATTTGAGTAACATAAGCATCTAGTAATCAATAATGCATTTGGCCTTTATATTCGTCAGCTACGTAATACTATCCATTTATATTGCTACTAATCTTGTTATTCTAGTTTTCTTGGGATGTTTGATTATCGGTATTGAGCCGTCAAATTGTTTTGCAATTATGTTTTATGTGTTACCTACATGTAGAGGTTGGATCTTGGCATGATGGTAAATTAAGTTGGCTCCATTCAGAGGTTCAAAGGCTTAATATATTCTCTCTAAATTAAATTGGGTTTGGTTGCTTAAAGCTGACCCTCACTAAATTCAGTTGCAGGAACCTCTTGCAGTTGATTGTCCTTGTTCATATCTTTCATCTTTGTCTGTTAAATATTATGTTATCAGATTGATCAGTTGGAATATATGCCTAATACAGGAACTTCAGAAACATGCAACCCCGGGTATCATAATGGCTTTGGTTGGTAACAAGGTTGATCTGCATGAAAATAGAGCTGTATCGTCCCAGGTAAGCAGTGGAACTACTGATTCATCTATGAATCTGGTTGGCTATGGACAGTATCTATTTCGCTTTCAAGGAGATGACCGTTCCTTCATTTTGAAGGATGCACTGGAATATGCAGATAAGAACGGTATGTTCTTCATCGAGACATCGGCAAAGACAGCTGACAACATCAACGAACTCTTTGAGGTATACATTCATGTAGCGTTAACTATGTCTCTGAACCATGTCCGGTCAAAACCGGTGCCGCACAATAAAAGAAAAAAAATCAATCATTTGCTATGATCAAAGTTTTCTTGTTTTTATTTCAGGAAATCACAAAGAGGCTTCCTCGAACATCGTCTTAGCTGTCCGTCTGGAGATTGATTTTAGAAACCTCCATCTTGCGCATGGGATTGTAGTAGACCTGTTGTGACGCTGCCTATAGGTAATGTATTATCGTCTCGCTAGTTCTTATGACTTCAATACTTTTCACTAGTAATGGCATGCAAAGAGGGCATAATGTCCCACTATTTCCAGTTGTGGTATTTTGTTCTCTGATGAGCACTATGTTCTAAACGGTGCCTTCTTCTTTTGGCAAGTCTATACTGCATGCTGTTTTGACATCTTCTCATAAGTCGCTACTGTAGATGAGATTAGAAAAGTGGGTGATGAATCCTAACTTGATCAGTATAGGAGACGAGAGGAGCGGTCATATTGTGATTATTAGCGACCACACGCACGAAGACTATATTAGAGGCTTCACTACATGCGCACGCAGCTGTGTCTTAAAAGATGAGAATACGAGTTGGCAAATCTGTCTCCACAAGCTCTTCATTGAATGAACATCATATAGATGAGAAAGAAATCAATCCTAGAAACCAATGGCTTTCTTTCAAATGGATCTCAGCTAGAACTGATGCAAATCTATTGATGCAATAGACAACAACATGGATCACAATCAAATCCAAAACGATCTTTCATGCTTAGATCATCGACTAAAAGCACCAGCATTTCAACGACAAAAAGAGTAACTCAAATGCATGAAGCATCCCCAACCGAAAATTAGCATATAATTTCATCCGTTTTATTCCTAGAACTAGAGACCAGTAAACCACAACATGGTTCACTCACTGCACGGACAGGACAATTTATTTGTTCTTAGCACATAACAAATCATAAATGGTAAGACATGCATAAAAATAGCATAATCAGTGTATACATTAGTCTCAAAAATATAGTAAATCATCTTCTACGTGACAAATTCGATCTTCTTATGCAGATCAAGAAAATTCACAACTCACAAAGTTAAGCATGTGCGTGCCACACGTAACTATTGTACATAAAACATCGACATGGTCGATGCCAAAAATCTCATCGGAACAAATACCTTCATATTGTTCACAGCACATGCTGCTTGATACCTTTGAGAACAAGAGATCAGTAATCAGTATGTGATGGCTGGCTTTCTAAGATTGCCTGTTCTCATGCTCTTGCACCAAGAAGACTGCTGAAAGATAGGAAGATTTTAGAATTGGTCCAGAAGAATAAACAGATTGGTCCCTCATGCTTTAGTTTCTTTTCCAATTAAAATTGCACACACTTGGATGAACCATAAACCAGAAACAGAAAAAATATGAAAGTTACAAAGAACAAACATGAAAGACTTCTAGAGAAACAAGTTACTAGATGTACCATGGATTCAAATACTAGTTGGTACTTGAGATGTACTGACCAATATTTGTCAATCCATCTATGGTACAGTACTGGAACCATATGGCCTAATACCAATTGGTATATTATCTTTTAAGGTGATATACCAGGCTGTATGATTCAGTATCCCGCTTGAAATACCATACTAGTCTGGTATACTAGTAGTTTACATCAAGCCAAGATTTAAATCCTTGTAACTCTACAAACATTGAACTATAAAAGAAAAACCATCTACGACATATCAGTCAAAGGTTTGTGATATGTTAATTTTACTTATGATTCTGAAAAAATTCAAATGCCTAGTAGCAAAACCTTTTCTACCAGTCTTGTTTTTGGTATCAGGTGTATAACAAGAATGGGTTAATATAGTTACTTCAGGTTGAGTTCTGCAATTTTCACACAATAATCAGGAAAAATCAAGGATGAAATTTGAGTGGCATCTAAAGATGAAACATACTGTTCAATAGTAGATTCTTCTACAAAACTATCATACTCCATGATTATCAATTAAACATTTAGGGTCATTACATAATATTGGTGCAAGTAGAGCTTGATTCTTTTCAAGTTGCATTAAATGACACTGATCATTGTGTGAAAATTGCACACTGTTTCATCTTTAATTATCATTATGCAACTTGAATTTGTCCGGGAAGCTAATTTAAAAGAAAAGAAAATGCATAGACCTTGATTCCTGGAGAGAGGGTCTTGATCTGCATTGCAGCACAACTACCAAGCAGGAGTTCCAGTTCTAGATGCAGCAGTACTACCAAATCCAAACCTTTTCTTTTCTGAAGCTGCAGGCTTCAGAATTTGGAATGAACACATCAGGGTCTCATCCACGCTCATCATAGCACCAGCATTGTCAAATTCACCACAGTAATTTGGAGCTGAGAAGATTGTTACAAGTTGCCTATCAGCAAAGAACTCATATCCATCCTCCACCACCTAATAACAAAGCTTAAGCTGAAACATACTGGCATGCTTTATAAATGTAAGTTAAAGAAAAGGAAGAGAGAAAGGAGAGATATGGGATGGAAAGAGAGATGAGAGAGAAAGAGAGAGCCATCCCTAACCTGGTGAGCACGGCAAATAAGGTCTAGATCATGCTTCTGAAGAAAGTCAGTGACCCTATCAGGTCCAAAAGTATATGAAACACCCCTATCATTCATTCCCCATCCTTGGATCTCTTTACTAGGATCCGACCACAAAAGATCACAGAGTAATCCATTGTCTGGCACATCAGTAGGCCGTGCTAAATTACGAATTTGGTCCAAATTATTCAAGTCCGGAGAAAGACCTCCATGCATGCATAGGATTTTTTCATCAATAAGAGCTGCCACAGGCAGGCAGTTAAAACAATCAGTGAAGACCTTCCAGAGTCTCACATTGAATCTGCGCTTGCATTCATCATAGAACCCATAGATACGATTTATGGATGCACATTCATGATTGCCCCTCAAAAGAAAAAAATTCTCTGGATACTTAATTTTGTAGGCTAAAAGAAGGCATATTGTTTCAAGGCTTTGTTTTCCTCGGTCCACATAATCCCCTAAGAACAAGTAATTGGCTTGAGGTGGCAATCCACCATATTCAAAAAGTCTCAAAAGGTCAGAATACTGACCATGAATATCACCTGTTCAACATGGGAAAGACAATGTCAGCCTTTGGAAAAAAAATTTAAGTCAATTTAACTGACCAATCAACACAGAAACTAACATAGCAAACTCTAAATTCAGGACTGATAAGTCTTTGATAACAGAGCTTCAATTTCAGAACAACTAGTTGCATATTTCAGAAAATACTTGTTAATAGAATTATCAAAGGTGAACTTCAAACTGATAAATGTCGATGCAAAAAAACATCATCTTGGAGAAACAAACGAAAAAGAGAGATTGATTTCATGATCATTTATAAATTTAAAACCCAAAAGTCAGAACGAACCCAGGCACAAGTCGGGAAAACCAGAACTAAGAAGAAATATGAAAAACAGTTATAGTAAAAAAAAAAAGCCAGCACGTGGAACCTTTTTGAACAAGAGCACAGGTTAACTACGATGACGAATTGTTACAATTGGTCAGGAACCATAGATGTCTGTTGTTATAAGCAATCACAGAGCAAAAACAGATACAGAAGAAGTTTTATCTACATGGACATGAGATCTTCTGGAATACCATGAAAATTAATAAGCAATGAAGAAAGTTGATCATTATAAAACATCAGTAATATTCTAACAGTTAGGTAAAACCAGGCATTTTTCCAAATAGAGTCCAATAGAAATACATACAATATCAATCATGATGATTCTCAACAAATTTTGTTTTTTCTCCAAAACGGTCAATATATGAGTGAAATGATATTGACATTCTATTTACATGATATTGGAGTTTTTTATACACAATATTTAATTTTGGTGCAAGATGCTAGAGTATTCTTTAAAAAAATAATTGTGTTCAAACTAACATCATTTACCAAAGAATTATACCAAATTCAGCATATGTTCTTCAAGGTGGATGCCAGACTTCTTTAAGAAGAAGGCTGTCATGGCAAAACAAAGGGTCAAGAATGATAAGTTTGGGATCATATGATAAATGGTAAAGGGCCTTACAGTTCATCTATCCATGAATATGAACTTCATTTGAATTTTGAAGTCAAATTATTTAATAGAGGTAAACCAAGGGTCATGTATAACAAGCATAAATTTCTAAAAATTACTTTTCAACAAAACTTACCAACATTCACCTACCTAAAGCTTGTCAGAAGGTTCAAGAAACAAAATATATGGTCTCTTTAAAGAAAAAATGTTTCATCGAAGCACATGGTAGTAGCAAGAGTAGAGCGAGAAGAAGAACAAAAAGAAAAAGAAAGAAAGAGCATAATAAAACTGTACAGACAAGAAAGGAGTTCATTAGGAGGTGAAAGGAAAAAAATGAAAGTAAGAATAAGGGAAGAAACTCTTCGTGCAGAACCAACCATTTGATCTCATAAACCCTTGTGCTCTCCTTCTATAAGTAAATCTAATCCAAAATTTTCCATCAGCTAACAATAATTTGTAATGCTAAAAAAGCACACCTTTTGGCTATGGGCCTTGGAGAAAGCTCCATGAAGCCTATGAAACCAACCTAATGTACAATGTGCATCGACATGATTTCATAACATAATACCTATAAAAAGATGATGGATTCATTTCTAGGAAAGGTTGAACAGATTGATGAGATCCTAAATATGCTTGATGGGAAAAAGGGTAAAGAAAATCCTGAAATATCAAAAACATAAAAGAAGGTAAAAGTATTTTGTGTGGTCAACTTTTAAGTCCTTTGTCATTTCCTTTCTAACATTATATTATGAAAATGACATAACTTACTATGAGGGGGGAAAAGAGTTTGGTTAGTATTAGATGCACAAATTTTGAATCCAAAAAAGATTCCTGTAGACATGAAGACCAAAGAAATGATATATCCTTTTCCACCAATTATTGAATATAAATCTACCTTCGTCTTTTAGAGCTTAAAAGAGATAAAGGGATGGACATAAAGCATGATAGTCTGGCTAATGCAACGTCTGAGAAGGGTCAATGCATACAATCTTACTCGAACAAGTATAAATTATATTTGTAACTCGAATCTCTATCACCAACATGTAAAAGTACCAAGGTTAGCACTTAACAACATAGAAAAAAAGACTCAAAACTATTAAGTATACAAGTGAGGTTAAAAAATGCACTAGAAAGATGAAAGCAAGTACAACCATACATGTTGCTTAGGAGATAATGGGCTATGTGGCTAATTATCTTAGTTAAGGTGCTCAACTCTTGTCCTATATAGAAAAACAATCGATAAATTCAAATTGATAGAAACTACTGATGATCAATCATTTCATAATGCAATTAGTTGGGACAGTTGTTGATCAACGACTGAGATATTACGTAACTATTTCTCACTAAAAGGATGAGAAATAAAAGCAGGTTCAAAGCTAAAACTGAAGTCCAATGACAAGGATGCTTCGATGAAGTATGGATGTAAGTAAATGGTGTAAAAGAGGCACAAGACAGAAAAGAGTAGGAAGGATTACCATGACATTCTTCTGGAGGGAAGGAAAACAGATGCAACAGACAATGTATTGATTGTAATCCTTGTTTTGTTAAACAAGTGAACAGCAAGAGAAACAAGAAAAAACAAACAAGATAGAGGGGATCAAAGCAAAAACCTCACAAGTCCAATTTACTAGAATTGTTTTTACCATATAAGAATAAATATCCTCTCCTCATCGCATTACAACCAAGCAGAAAGAAAAAGAAGTAGCAATGCCCTAAGAAAACAAAGAGCCAGTAATGGTCAGAAAATGCTGTGAAGAAAAGGAGCAGTAGCAGCAGCTTTTAGGTGCAAGCAGGGACAAAATTATATAAATTTTGTGTTCCTCTCTTCTAAATAAGCATGTATGTAATTATTTACAATATGTCATCAAGCATCTAAGCTGTCATTCACAAGTTTAACGACATGACACACGACATCCCCTGATAATTATTCCTCTAACACAAATTTGACAAATTTTTGGAATTAAATTAGATCTCCGGCCGCTCTTGCATATGCAATTATCAAAACGAAAAAATAAGCAAAAAAATTATTAGAATGAAATAGTCTTAATTTGATTGCCCGATTGATGAGTCATCTGAAGTGTGATTTTGAATTTAAAAGCTACAACATATTTGTTATTTCCCTATTTTAAGAAAATAAATACTAGCTACATGAATCATCTAGATTTTATTGCCAAATTACCTGTTCTGTTTGGATTGCAGGAAAGTAGTGAGTGACATCTTAAAAGATAGCACACTTGTGATGGCTTTTGTTAAAAGAAAAGACAAAACTAGAACAATTTCATGTAACAAGTTGAATATAACATTAAAAGAGGGAAAAAAAAGACAACACCATCAAGTCATAATGTCCCTTTTATTCAAGGTCCACTAATATATCATTTTCACCATTGAATTCCAATAAAAGAGAATATCCTTAGTTAAACTAAAGGCATTTGAATCTCTACTTAAAGTTTCCATTGTAGTCTTTTTCGATGTTCCCTATTGTTCCTTGCGCCACTAATATTAATTTTCCTATATCTAATCACAACATCTATGTCTCACACCTAAAACATTGGCCTGGTGGTGACATACCAAACTAATTTACCAAAGGTTAAGAGCTCAAAACTTATCCAATATATTTAGACCTAAAACATTGGTCTGTTGGTGGTGTATCAAGTCCACTTATCAAAGGTTAAGAGTTTAAAACATCATTCGATATATTTTATACATAAAATATTGGTTTGATAGTGGCGTACAAGACTGTCTTATCAAATCTTGAGAGTTTGAAATCCAACATATTATCTTTACGGCACTAACTAGCTTGAATATCACTGCAAGGTCCTGGTATCAAGATCCTCCCTCATCAGTCATCCTTTGGCCAAAAAAAAAGTTTCCTTATAACATGTTCATACCATTTTAAACAATTTCTCACTTTTCATTCTCTATTGTAGTTATATCTCATCGTTCATGATAATGAACAATAATTTTTTTAGTATAAGCATTCATCTTAACATTTTCATCCCAGTGACACAATTAATGAGGATAATATCATTTCGTGCTGATGGAAATTGGATCATTAGAATTGTGGTCACCAAAAATATTCGCTGGGCAGAGAGGAGACAACCAATCAAGTTTCAGATATCTTTACAGATCCTCTGTAATGGTGAAGACTGCCCTGAACCAAAAATAACATTTAGAATGTGTATACTATCAAGAAGGAATAACAAACGTAACTCCCGAAGACATGAACATGTATCAACTCACAATCTTCAAAAACAATTATACAACATTATGTGCCAATTATGCAAGAAAGTAATGTTAAAGGTGATCTCAATCTTCAAAAACAAATTCAGAAAATTAGTATGTTTCGTCTGATCAACCAACTTCCATTATGCCCATTTCATAGGATTCTTTCTGACATTCCTAACAAACAGAATAAATTATTTCCTTGAATTACCTTGATTCAAGAAAAAAACAGATCTTTTTGAGTGATAAGCAATTCGAGAAACAAGACATGACATTTATGCAACATTAGGTGTTAACTGGACCACAATATATATACTGCTCAACTAATCGAATCTAACACAACGAACCATAACAATGGGTTATGTAAAATTGCAACCACCAAATTCCAAGAACTCTTTCCCACCATGTTGAGAACCGTAAAAAGAGAAATAAAAAGAAAAATATCTTCAAAATCAAGACGTGCAAAACCATTTCAATGCTGCCGACTGAACCCATGCCACGATCATGAAAATCGAAAAAGAAACGTTAGGGCTTACCACAAATCTTAATGGGCGCCTCGAGCTCCAAGAGGTTGGGCTGCTGAAGAAAGATGTCCTTCGACACGAGACATAGCTGTCGGATCTCCGCCTCCAGGAGCTGCACCTGCTTCCCCGGCCGGCCACCCTTCACTTCCAGCAGCCTTTGGATTATTCCATCCAGCACCTTGGGATCCATCAACAAACCCTTCTCTCCCCTGCTCTTCCTACAAGACCAATCCCCTCCTCCTCCCAAATCACAAAAGAACACAGTAAGAAACCGCAAAAACCCACCTTTCGGTTTCTTATGAACCACCCAAAGTGCCGAACAACCTCAGATTCCAAGATTGCAACGCCCGGAGGCGGAGGAAAAACCGGCCCTCTTTTTCGGCCTTTGATTTCCTTATTAGAATAAGAACTTAGCAATAGCTCCTTCGATCGCCCTCTGGATTAGAGGATCGAACGGCCCGACCGATTAGGGTTCTCCTGATTCTTTGCAACTTGAGAATAAGGGAGAGGGGCTCCGCTCTCCGGTTTCATTACAGACCCAAAGATCACAGACCCCATGATTAATAGGATTTCTTTTCGCACCCTTCCATACGTTACCCGCAGACCTACGGGGCTTGTGATTGGATCACGTACCTGATGAGCAGTCATCACGAGATGGACGGTTGAGATATCATCATATTTGGTTCTGGTGGCTCAAGCCTCTTGGTAGATCCCGAACACCCGTCTTGCGCAGTATGATTCACGAGTGCAGGACTCGATGCCAATGTGGCGCATCCTCGTACGATGCGCTCGGTCCAGTAATTTACGTTAAAATTGCTGGTAACAACCCAGCTTTCCTACCCTAAGGTCACTCATCCGATTCCAAAGAGGACCCACACTTGGACCAGTCAAACAACAGGTAGATACAGGCGTAATGTGTACAAATTCTGGCTTATAATTTGGAGTAGTAGCAGACCAACACATTTCATACCCATTTGTCGCGAAGTACCTCGCCACTGTCGGACCCACCTTTTTATTCTCTAATGGGAAGACAGGTAGTTTTGATGGTAATTATCGGAGTAGAGATTCAGTCACCTCAAGCTCCTCCTAGGTATAAGAATGATGCCATTAAATTCAATTTTCAAGGTGTTCGAATTGAACGTGCCTTACCAACTATATGTCGGTTCCAAAAATTAAAGTTATTTAGCAAGCTAATTATGTAATTATCTATTATAATTAATTATCTTCTGTATCCATATTTTTTTTATTAAATCCTTATATTTATAAAAATAAAATATTTAATCTTATTTCTAAGATTTATCATTGAATATGTGCTGATTTTGTCTTCCTTTAATTTACCGTTGAATACGTATGATATTTCAATTAACATAGTCAACGACGTGAAAAGAAACGGGATTAGATGTAAATATAAAAATTAAAATATTAGAGATAACTAATCACAAAAGATAATATATAATTAATCCTTATTTAGTAATTACCTCCTACTAATTTTTAAGCCATTTAATATGGTTTAGTAAAAAAAATTATTTTTAATAAAATTTTATACCTATTATTGACTACCGTCTTGCTTGTGTTATTTCCATCACTTCTACTAGTTATATATATAATTACATATGTTGATTGCATGACTCGAATCTATAAAATATTCTTTCCTTTTTATTTTTTTATCTTTCTTTCTTCTCTCTCTCTCTCTCTTCTTTTTTTTTTTTTTTTCTCTTCTCTTCTCTTCTATGAGGTGTAGAAAGAGGTACCTCAGACAATTCCCCGACATATTCATGTTGTTGACAAGAAGCTTCGCTGCATAACAGTCATTCACCTGATGCAGCCATGACCATCTGGAATGAAGCTCTCAACACATCTTCCACAATCTTACTTCCAGGAACCATCGTATACATCAGTCACAGAGTTCTCATTAAGTCCATGGCTATTGGCTACAATCCACGACAGCTAAACAGTAACTTCTGCAAAAACAACTATTGTTTGACTGTTTTCTGGAACTGCTCATTGCCGACACCAGATAAAGAAAGTAGCTGCACATCATTTTGGATATCGTCAATCACAAGACGCAACTCGACATCTAAGTAGCTTCAATGGTCTTTGTGCAGCTTCAGATTTGGCCTGTCCCCAGCGGCTGCCTAGAGTTGTCGCCTGATGCCCATGATTGATAGTCCTTTACAAGCTGAATGAACACAAATCAGCAACCATCAGAGTTTTCAAGTCAATCGGAGAAGCATACTCGAAGAATCATTTGGGTTGTGCCATACTACATGATATTAATATATCACAATAGTGAGCATAAACCATGAGACATTTTTCTTGGCAAACATATCAACAAGTTAGTATTACAATTTGCAAAGTCGTGCCACTTATATTTCAGCAGAAACTAGATGAAGTCAAATTATATAATGATTAACAACAAATCTAGCAGAAGTTTATAACATAAAATGACAAGTTTTGATATTTTTCACATATATTGGTTTCTGATTCAAGCTTGATATATTTGTCCTGGCCTGCCATAATAAAGCATCTTCATTCTGTTGTTCTTTCTAATGATAAGATTCTGGAATCTAATTTGTTCAACACCTCCAACGTGTTAAAAAGGTAATGCAGAGTACCAATATAAGTTGGCAAGTGACAATGCCTGGTCATAGATAAGAAACAAATTCTTGCCAGAAAGAGCATATTGATCTATGTAGCTTAAAGAACCATGTCTAATTTTCAAGAGAACTGCACATGAAGTTGTTTTCTAATCGCAATATTTTATTCAAAGCTAATCCTTTCAGTCTCCTTCAATAGACTTCCAATCTGACAAATGTAACCGACTGGGAAACAACTTTTTTCCACCTTATTAGAAATTGGTTTCAGAAACTACAGATCTCTTTGGGAACATGACGTGGACCTAAGATGACCAGTGGAGACGTAAAATTGGCAGCATAAAATAACCTAAAAAGAAACAACAAATAGACAACAAGCAACATGCTTCAGCCAAGTGTAGTTAATCTTCCAGTCACAAAGCTGTGCTGTATCTCTAGAAAATCATGTATTTATTTGCGCTACAATCAGTTCATAGAGCTTCAACTCACCTGTGCCAGAAATCGTGGAAGCATAAGTCGTAGTAGCTGTTCAAGGACCTGGGTACCAGTCGATTCAAAAACTTCTACAGGTATTGCGCGAAACGCAAAGGGGATGTCAATAGTCACCTGGATATCATGACAAATTTAAAATATATTTTTAAAAAATGGCAAACTTGTATGATAAATAAATGGAATTGACTAAATTGACCTCGATAACTGTATCCGTTGCAAGCTGCTGGAAAGTTGAGTTGTGCAAACCATCGTTGCAGGATACTCTATTCACCATGGAAGCTGCATTCCCATACCAAATCAATGTCAAAGGTTTCCTGAAAAGGCATTTGATGGTTCAACTCAGGATGAAGCTTTTGTATTTTATTTCAGAATTTCAACATTGGCTACAAGAAAAGAGAGGCCCTGAATTGTACGTTAACTGGCCAATGTAAGATCATCAACTAATATAAGATCAATACCAGAAACTTTTTGAACTTGCTAATTACTTTCCTTTAGAAATGTAAGATCTACAGTAGCTTCTTGAACAATAAGAGGATACATTTGATGCTTATGTAGTATAACTTACTCATTTTCCCTGATTATTCAAAAGTTTTGATCCATGATTTAATATTCTCAAGTATCATTCAACTCATCCTTGAGATCCAAGTGCAAGTGCCATGGGCAATTTAATGTCTAGGTCTGCTCAGATATCTATATGCTGCTATCTACTCTCTGTGTTGAATATTTATCATTCTACTGATTAGCAGTTTGTGAAAATCATGTCCAAATGCAAAACACAAGTTAGTGAAGAAAATGTAAAGCAACATTCGACTGAGTGGACAAGAAATACACAAAAGGTTTAAGAATACTTCAGCACCGTTAAATTAATCATTCTACATTTTTTTTAAATTTTTGGTCAAATATTTTTTAATCCTTATCCAACCATCAAACTTTACTATTGATATCATGTTTTCATCTAAGTGAATATAAGGTTCTCTCACATTTTTGAATGGCAGGATTCTTCGACAGAAATTCAAGTTCACATGTAACTGAAGATGATCAGTGTATCTAAGTATTGGACTTCAGAACAATCTCAAATTCATTCACTCCACTTACAGTAAGCTCCTTAAAAGCCAACCATGCATACACTCCCCATACTAACTCCACCTACATCTAAGGTTTATAACCCAACCAACAGAAGGATCTGCATTATCTTCCTTCATATGTGTTGATGATCTAAACTTATTGCAGAATTTCTTTGAATTTGAAATACTAAATATGACAGTAAAATAGGACTCAATCACGGTCCTAACCTTTCCTAACCTCATAGAAAATTTTAATTCATACTCCACCTCTGCTACTTCACATCTCATAATAATCTGTGCCCAAGTGTCCCACGCTTATTAAGCTAATCATAAATACAGGTCAACAAAATATCTGAAAATGTAATTGCTCCATGGATCATGGGAACAGTTCTGTCATCTTAGTGGAAAGCAATCAACCTTCAGTAATTTTGATCTTAAAGCTTTGCAGATTTAGTGTCCCATGACATATATAGTTATCATGTCTAAGTGTCTGCTAACTTGACTCTCTTTTCATTCATGACATCATTTAAAATTCATGGGTGAATCTTGATGCCATGGTACGGTTGCTCCTTTATAACTTGGACGAGCAAGGTTTGATTACATAAAAGACCTTTTTACTTTCAAGGATAAATCTACATGTATTAGTACTCATCAAACCACAAATTTGTAGCAGCCTCAGACATTGGACTGCCCTCCTATGCATGAGGTCTCATAGATTTCCAAATGTCTTTTAAATTCTCCTTTGATGCTTTTGGTTTTTGTGTCTGCTCATTTGTTATGCACTTTGGAACTTGCTATATGTTTGTGGCTGAAGTGTAGGTGGAGTACCAAGCCTTTATGATTTTTTTTCTTGAGTGCTTGAGTTCCAGTTCTGTTCAATAACACAGCAATGTTCACCCTCACATGTGTGTAATTTTCTAATTACATTCCTGATCATGTAGCAAATGTGCTTCACATCTAAAAGTGGTGACACACCATTTCTCAACATAAATACCAAGTACCAATAGCCAGATTAACTCGCCAGCAAGAGGACATAGTAAACGATTTATACAAAAAAAATTCAATTTCAAAATGAAGCACCAAAGAATGAATAATCATAATGGGGCCACAACAAGCACCATTTTGTGTGTGGAACTTGGTTATATAGTGATAACAAAGACCAAACTATGGAGCTTCAATTTGTGACACCCATTACCAACTACAGCTACATAGTCCTTTAAATGCAACTTTTGTTAGAATTTGACAATGACAAGTCCGAGTCGAGTGGTGAGGTTTAATCTATATTAGGTTTGACACTAATTCAATAAAAAAACCTAGGCCTAAGTTAATGGTAGTACACCAATCAAGCCCTTATAAGTCAATTAAAGTATTTGCTCACTTCCTAAATCGAGGTGAGACTAAACAGGAGTGTTACAATCTCCTTGACTTAAGGGTTTGACGTCATTGTCAAGGCCTAACATAATCCAAAATCAAAATCCAATATAGTATATGTGAGGCCTAACGCAGTGGTAGTTTGATGTAATGTGTCCTTTTGGTCTCATTCACGAGAAGCCCTTTACAACTCAAGACCCTCATCATACCTAAATACTAACTCGACTCTGAGATCAATTGTCATGACCCGACATGATAGAATAATTGATCTGCTAACTTCTTTGAGCTTAAAACACTACCTCAGAATGCTTAAATTTATCAAATTATGACCAACCCGATAAATATCTATATCGCCGGACTCCTTAAATTCTTACCAACGTGGAATTATTGTCTTGGTTTTTTTTTCAATCTCTCATCACATTACGTTAATATTTATCAACAACTTTACCTAGCTACTTCCATGAACTATGCGAAATGCAAAAAAGAAAACAAAATCAAATAACTTTTCCATCAAAATACAGCAATACTAACCCATAAAAAGCTATGAAAAACTACTGTAAGGACCAATATCATGCAAAATTTTAAGAAGGCAATTTGCTGTCTTGGTTCTTCAATCAAGTATTTGTAATTGGGAGGAAGAAAGAAATAATAGGAAAACATGGCATTAGCATACCTGAAAACTTCTCGTTCTGAGCTTCCACCAACGGCGATCCCTCCAGCTGCAATAGAAGATCCAGATGCCATATCAAGCTCAAAAGCACAAAGGAAAAGTCACAGAGAGAGAGAGAGAACGCACCTTGCAGGACAAGAGGCGAATGCAACAACCATTGGGCTCCTCGTCGACACGAACAACGAGGACAGGGCAAACCTCAAAGGCGAAGAACTTGATGCGATAGACGTAGCACCGGAAGGTGTTGTCGTCAATACGCTCGATTCGCTCCGCGTCCAGCACCGAGTACTGGCTCGCCGGCAGGCTCATGTACTCCGCTGTGATTCAACTCAACGCGAAAAAGACACCCGTCGATTCCTTCTTCAGATGGGGAAAACACTTCTTCTTATTCTCTCTTCTCCTATCTGTTCTCGGGAAAGAGGCTTACCAAGGGGACGTTGGAGCTGCTGCACGGTGGTGGACTCGGTGCGCCTGGCGACAAATCGAGCTTTGGGGGCGGAAGAGACTGCAGAGGCGCGGAAGGAGGCGGTGCAGAAGCGGTGGCGCCCGACGGTGGGGGCAGCGGCGGCGGAACCCAGGCGGACCGGAGCGTAGGAGTAATGGAGCGCCATGGCCGCTCAGTTTGCTGTCGATCAGCTGCTACTTCCGGATGGACAAGATGAGGAAGATGAGAGAGAGACGGGAGCGAGGGTCGTTTGTGTGGGCGTAACGATGCGAGCGTCGCCGGTTCGAGGGCACGGGTGGGATAAGATAGCAATGGGAGCGGATCCGATTGACTGGGCATTCATACCCGACCCAACTTTATTTGAGCCCATACCTAAACTGATTTGGACGCATGACCAAATGGGTAAAATATGTATCTAAATTATGACCGTTGGGACATTCGGATCCGGGTCTAGGTATGGTATGTTCTCAGTTGGATGCACATGGGCTGATATGAAGCAAGCCGGCCAAGACCGGCCCAAGCTACGGGCAGATGATGTTATCCAGATTGGTCGGATAAGGTGCCACGCGTCATGATCCCAGTGGAGGGAATCAAATCCTTTACAGCTCCTGGTGGAGAAAATTCTGCTTCGATTTGAGGTCATCTGCAGCTTCTTCTTCTTCGCGACAGCGCTGCTGCGTTAAAGGTTTGGAAAGAGAGGGAGAGAGAAGAGAGAGAGAGAGAGAGCTTGAGGAGGTTCCCATTTTGTCATATATCATGGCAACCTCCGGCTTGGCCTCGGCTGCTTCGAGCTTCGTGCTCGCCTCCAGCCTTCCTACCGCTGCCATCAACACACCCTCGCGTGTCAGCTTCGTTACCTTCTCCAGGCCAAGTAGAAAGTTGGTGGTTCGAGCCGAAGAGGCGGCGGCGGCTCCGCCACCGCCCCCCCCGGCAGAAGCGGGAGAGAAGGTAGTTGCCAAGCCTCCGCCGCCGCCACCAATCGGTCCAAAGAGAGGCGCGAAGGTATGGAAATATATGTACCGGTAGATTACTTTCAGATGTATCAAACACATACAGTAAACATATTAACTTGCTTAGTGTTCTGCCATGAATAATGAAGCTACTCTCTGCACGAGCAATTGTTTTATCTGAATCGTAAGCTTCTCCAGTGTAAGATAGTGTGATTTTAGACGGCACTGTTCTTCCCAGGTGAAGATTCTGCGAAAGGAATCCTACTGGTACAAAGGCATTGGATCGGTTGTGACTGTGGACCAGGTACTCACTCTCTCTGCCTGTGGCTACTCTTCAATAGATCAGTTTAGGTTGTCTCCCTTCGGTTCTTGACATCTTGACCTTCTTCAGGATCCCAAGACTCGCTATCCCGTCGTGGTTCGATTCAACAAGGTGAACTATGCCGGCGTCTCGACCAACAACTACGCTTTGGATGAAATCCAGGAAGTGTAATCAGTGACTGCTGCTTGTGCTTTGCTAAGAATGATTTGATGGAGTCTCATGTCTGTATAATACATGTTTATGCAAACTCTTGTACTTAAGTTTCTTAAGGTTTCGATCCAGTTTAGCTTCAAATGACTCCTCATCTGGTAGATCAACATTTATACATATTTTTTGTGTCAATCAATCATAATAAGTCATCTCAAACAAAAGGTCTCATATGATCAAGTCCAAGTTCTCCTGCATATTCCCATGGAATGCTGTTCTACTGAAACATCCTCAAGTGGATAAAGCTGAACAATGCCAGAAATCAATAACAAGAAAAACTATAAAGACCATACTGTTTTATTCTTTTCTTTTAGACTATTTCCAGGTATAGGGAACTATTCTTCTTCCAGACCATATTAGCTTGAACTCCAACAAGAGGATAAATCTTTCTACCACCAAAGTAGTCCCTCTTTGCCTAATCTTATGCATCTTAGCATGTAAAATGCTTTTAGTTGTTATGATTGATAAGTATTTTTAAGATTTTTAAAGTCTGATATCCTAAGAGAACAAAAAATCTTATCACGAGAAAAAGATCTCAAGAACTAAGAAATTATGAAAATTAAAATTTAATACTTCTTTAAATATTATATATATCTCTAGATTTAGATCGGGGAAGAACAAAGTGATCAAAATATTTTGGATAATTTTAGATTTCTCTCTAGGATATTCATAGAATGTACTCGCTAGAGTTTCTAAAGAGTATATAAAGGGATTTATACTTGAATAAAAAGAATTTAAATTTTTTATAATTAATTTTATATTAAAAAATTGATCTTCCATGTGAATATAAATGATGAATACTGAATCGCATTAATCTTTTTTAGATTTTAAGTTATTCTCTCTCGCCTCATGAGTTTTGGAAACTTTTGTGAGATAGAACTGAATCATGGTGGCCATGATGGTTTCCGAATGATTACAACAGTAAACACAAATGGCTATGGTGAGTGTTTAATTAGCTAGTAATTGATTGCCCCTTTTTTTTATCAAAAAACATTATATATATATATATATATATATATATATATATATATATAGTTAGTTAGTTAGTTAGTTAGTTAGTTAGTTAATTAGTTAGTATAATTTATGGTTGTGCGAACTAAGAATCAATTTTGGATCCAATTGAGATTATTCTTATATGTCTTAGTTCAAAGTACAGTTTCGATCGTTTGATACCTATAAAATTAAGTTGAGGTGTTTTTGACAAATATCTTTTCGACAATCAAGTTAGTATCGAGTTTAGATTATTCGGACGAGTTAAATGAATTCTCTTTAAAAAAATTTCATGTGTGTGGAATGCACTTAAGAGCCTCCTTTTATAGGTGGCTTTAAGGATAACTATTTGTGGGATCATCGATGGTTATGGGTATGGGGGAGATCATACATTATTCTCGAGCTAAATTAATATATTGTCTTGATGAATTAGACTATTTGCCATTCTTAGTCCACATGTAATTGAGATGACCTTAGAAGATCAATACGTTGACCATGTGTAATCAACATGATGAAGTGTCAACCAAATCATTCATCACATGGTGCACCACACAACAACAATAAAGTCGATTCTTAATACCTCTTCCCTTCGTTTATCCAAATTTATCCTTTACTTTTTTTTTCCTTTCACTCTATTTTCTTCAAACATTTAGAATTAAAGTCTTGACTATTTAGGTTGTCTAATTTTTTTTGTCAAAAAATTTCTCCAACTATTTATTTTGATAAATTGGTCCCATGATCTCTTTGCAAGCTACACAATGATATCTTTCGTCTTGTAATGTTTTAGATTGGATTTAAGTATTTAAACTCGGTTACTCTCTTGCAAATGAGACAGGAATTTCATATATTTCTCGGATAGTCTCGTTGAATAAATAAATAATTTTTTTTATTTAAAAAAAATATCACTAATATTAATTATTTCATATCTTTTAAGTTTATCAATTTATTATCCAAATTTTTGTGTTTAATGAAATTAACTATCTTCGGACAATTAATAAAATCTACCTTTATTGACTTCTTAAATACTCTTCAATAACCTTCCTACAAGAATCACTATTATTTTAGTGTGTGTCAAATAGTTAATTAGTTAATAGATAAGTCTTAGGTTCAATGTAATGAAAAATTTTAAAATAAAAAATATTTAACTTAACATTATAAATAGAAAATCATGTTTTTATTGATAAAAAATATTTTTAAAAGATAAGTGATGAAGACATCATATGATGACATAAGACCTTATTATCAACGACAAGATATTTAGCTCGTTGACATCTTCTATAAATGCCATTTTATTTTATGTTACAAATTAATTAATATAATTATATCATAATATTTAAACTAGCATTATAAATCGAGAATCAAAAGGATAAATGATGAAGACACAACATGATCCAAGGCGTTGCTATCGACAATAAGATGCTTAGCCAGCTGACATATTCTATTTAACATGGAAATTATATGTAGTTATATAGATTAGTGATTCTTTAATAGGTATGATGCTCCTGCTTTCGCATGCACCTCATAAATTAGTGATTCTTTAGTAGGCTCATAACTTTATTCGAAAATTTATTATCTATATAAATAAATAAATAAGTGGTATTGAATGTTACAATTTTCCTTTATTTTACATAATAGGACAAGAAGGTTCTCAAAGATAAGAACCACAAAAATAACCAATAATAAAAAATATGGGAATAGCCATCTTATATTTGTATATCTCACAATCCTCATCAATTCTCTTTTAACCTTTGTTGACGAAGAAAATTATAATAGTACTTAAAATGTTTATTATCTTCACTCGCATCATATTCTAAAATTTTAAGATATATAATGTAATAATCAAAATATTTATCAACTAAGCTAATCGATGCTATCACGTCAATATCCGACCATATATAAAGAAGGATTATAAGACTGGAAAACAACTATAACTTCACATACATAGGTTACAATAGTCTAACTCTTAATTTTTAAGATTTTTTTTCTCTACCATTAGAAGTCTTCCAAATACCACTTATTATTTTTATTGTAGTTGTAGAAGTCTTTCTAAATTAGATTTTTTTTATTGACCAAACAAACTTGATAGCCTTCTTACCCTCTTTTATTTTTTTCTCTCTCCCTCCACATAGGATTACCTCTTGGAATGAAAGTAAAACCGAGTTTCCATCTCTAAATCATTTAAATTTATGACTCTTATGTACTCATCCTTATTATTATTATTATTATAAATCAAATTCTCCTACTCCATAATTCCAATAATTCTTTTTTGGATGGAACCCCTTTGGTATCTTGGTGAATGTGGTCTGCTCATAGGTATCACATGATCACTTAGTCAAAAAGATTATTATTTATAATATTTTTTATATTTTAAAATTATCCTTTCATGGATATAAATATACTTTTTTTTTCTCCTTTTCTCTTTGTCTCATTTCTTTTGCATATTTTATTTTTCTTCTTCTTTAAAGAATAGAATTGAGTGAATAAAAGTATAATCGGAGTGAGTGCATGCTAAGGGGACACATCTTGGGGGTGGCTAATGATAGTTGGGAGGCAACAATCAACGACAAGAAATGTTGGGGGAGCTTCCATGATAATTGGATGCATAAGCAATGATTACAGGGGAAGAAAAAAAAAATTAGAGAGGTTATAAATAATAAAAATAATTTTTATTTTTATTAAAAAAAATATTAATAAAAAAGGACTTTAAATAGTAAGCTCTCGTATTCCATCGTTTTCTGTTGAGTGTGACGATGATCGAAATATACATTTCATCTTAGACTCTCAACATAGAATTTTTTTTAATCATTTTAGAGATATTTTAGATCTAAGTTAACATGTCTCATATTAGGGATTAAATTTTCTATTTTTCATTATATTTTGAGATATTTTAAGACTAATTTACCATGCTTTTCAATTGATTATGTAAACATCTATAATTGCATTCATTTTTCAATATAACTCCACAAGTGGTGTCCAATTGATCTCAAAATTTTATAATTAAATAAAATTATTATTAAAATAATTATTCCATTTATTTTAAAAATATTAATTTTACGGGCTCTTATACTCAATTTACATATGTTCATCTTGACTAGTCTATTTAGATATGTAATAATAAAGACTTGTTTCTGAACCTCCATGATTTACAAAAACAAATACAGGATATAACTAATTATTAATTGATATTTCTATTTTTATTGATTTTAATATTTTTATAATCCAATTTGACACGTTTTCAGTTTGATCTTGCAATGAGAATAGTATAGTCTTATTACCAGTTTAACATCATAAGGTTTGTTTATACTTCAAAATCATGAAAAGAATATATGATATAAAAATTATTTTATAGCATAAAAATAATTTTCATATTGTAGATGTAAAGGTCAAATGATATTTTCATATGGTTAGAATTGTTTTATAAAAAAATAAAAATAATTTTAAAAAAATATCTTAAATTTTTTTATATAAAATATATTTTTATTATCAATAATATAAAGGCAAAATGATCTTTTCATGTGATAAAAAAAACGTTTTCATAAGAATTTTTTAAAAATATTTTTTTTTTGAAAAAATTCATCTTAATTTTTATAAAAAATAAAAAAAAGGCGTCTCGATAAAAACATATAAAGTGAGGTTTTCTGCATATATTATCATCACTCGCTTGTCCGGGAACGTACGCAAGCCTCGAGGGCCCCAGTAGCTTCCGCCATTCCCACGATGGTTCCTCCGCCGCCGCCACCGCTGCCTTCGCCGACTCCGTTTCAGGACCTCAATCTCTTCCCCATCGCGAAGCTCGAACCAAAACCGGAGCCTGTCGATGGCTGCCCGTCTCAGCTCGAACCTCTCGGTCCGGCGGAACCGCTCCCTCCTCCCGACGCTAGCCCCGAAGAGGCCGCGCTCCTCCTTGACTACTTCCGCCGATCTCACCTCTTCGCCGCCGATGACGACCGCAGCCGCCACTGCTCCATCGTACCCGCCCCGGTGGCGCCTGCCTGCTCGTCCGCCATCGTCGCCGCCAAGAAGCGCAAGGCCCGGTCCGCAGAGATGGTCCGCGTCTCTGGCATCGGCCCTCGCGACCGGCTCTATTTCCGCGGTCTCGTCCGCCGGACCCGCATCACCTACGACTCCCTGCGTGCCCTCCTCCTCCTCCGCGACGAGGATCGAGGCGAGACCTTCCTCCGCGAGGAAGCCTTCGTGGCTGCCTGGGGCCGGCGGACCCGCCCCGACCTCAGGGCCGCCGCCCTCATGACCGATCGCGACCTCTGGCTCAACCGCGACCGGCGCATCATCGGATCCATCCCCGGGATCAGCGTCGGCGACGTCTTCTTCTTCCGGATGGAGCTATGCGTGGTCGGCCTGCACGGCCAGGTCCAGGCTGGCATCGATTACGTCCCTGCCAGCCGGAGCGCCAGTGGCGAGCCCGTTGCCACCAGCATCATCGTGTCCGGCGGTTATGAGGACGACGATGACAAGGGCGTCGTGCTCATCTACACCGGCCATGGTGGCCGTTCCCAGAACATGCAGCGGCACTGCGTCAACCAGAAGCTCGAAGGAGGGAATCTCGCACTGGAGCGCAGCATGAATTACGGTATTGAAATTCGGGTTATTCGTGGCATCAAGTTCGACGGGAGCCCCTCCGGAAGGGTTTATGTCTATGACGGGCTTTACAAGATTGTTGATTGCTGGATGGATGTCGGGAAGTCAGGTTTTACGGTGTACAAGTACAAGTTTCTAAGAATGGAAGGCCAAGAGGAGATGGGCAGTGAAATTCTTAAACTAGCTGATAAGTTGAAGGCGAATCCATTGAGCGTGAGACCGGTCGGGTATCTCAGCCTCGACATTTCAAGGGGGAAGGAGAATTTGCCTGTTTCTATTTTCAATGACATTGATGATGATCGAGATCCATTGATGTTTGAGTATCTCACTCGTCCCATTCTCCCTCCTGAGGCTTTTCAGGGAAAGGTGAAAGCAGATGATTGGAATGGGTGTGACTGCACTTTAAATTGCTCAGCCGGTTGCTATTGTGCGAAGAAGAATGGGGGTGACTTTGCTTATAATCGTGATGGGATCCTCTTGAGGGGAAAATCATTGATATATGAATGTGGCACCTTGTGCCGATGCCCGCCAACTTGTCCTAACCGGGTAAGCCAGAAGGGAGTCAGCCATCGGTTGGAGGTGTTCAGATCCATGGAGACAGGGTGGGGAGTTAGGTCGTTGGATTTGATTCGGGCTGGAACATTTATTTGTGAATTTAGTGGGATTGCAATCACCAAGGCACAGGCAGAGGTGCTTTCAAGAAATAATGAATGTTTGGTGAATCCGGGTCAGTTTCCAAGAAGGTGGACCGAGTGGGGAGACATTTCAGATATTTCACCTGATTATCTACTAGCTGACTCTCCTTCTATGCCTGATCTCAATTTTTCGATTGATGTTTCAAGAGCGAGGAATGTTGCCTGCTATCTCAGCCATAGCTCTTGTCCAAACGTGTTTGTGCAGTTTGTCCTTTTTGATCATAATGTGTCATATCCTCATGTTATGATATTTGCAGTGGAGAATATTCCTCCTTTAAGAGAGCTGAGCGTTGATTACGGGATTGGGGATGAAATTGTTGAGAGACTAACACTGTAGATAATGTATTATGTGTACGTGCTGAAAGTTCTGAGGCCATCACATTGTTCAGTTTGAGAATTGCCTTCAGGTGAACAGTTTTTGACCCTCTTGAATTTTCTGCAATTTTCATCTTTTTATCATTGTGCTGCATTTTCCTGCTATAGTTTTTGTCAAAACAAGTTGCACTTACATTGGAGTATCCCAATTCATGTTTGCAGGATACTCGAAAATATGTACATAACTTTTTTCTATTTTACTGTTATTTTGGTGAATATTATGCTACAAACCAAGGTTTGTAATTTCGTACCATACCGAAGATTCGAGTTTGGTACGGTACGATATAAATATACCGAACGATACATTTTGGCATACCGTTCGATAT